ACACCCTCTATCCACAAAAGTTGGCATTAAACTTCGATGACAAGCAGCAGTCACTCGGTCGGTATAGTTTACTTGCAGACTAAAATCAAGGAGTTTGGTTTCTTTGTTTGTACATCTTCTTGCTAAGGTACAGTATGCGCCAAAATATTCAGTACTGAAATGAAAAGACGTTCTATTGATACCACTGTCTATTCATGTGAAGGCGCCTTGCACAACAGAACCTTCTCAGATCCTGAAGAAATGGTCTGATCACCATGTCCCTATAGTGTTCTTGGGTGACAGTAAGAGCATTGCCTTCCTTATCCTCAATGAAATATGGGCCTAATATACCGTGTGCTGAGATGGCACACCATATTGTCACACGTATACTATGTAGTGGTTTCTGGATGATAACATCTGGCCGCTCAGAACCAAGGAAGCAAGTTGTCTGGTGACCCCTTCCATATGAGCAGAAATAATAACTAAACTATGAATACTTTTTCCTCCATCGAGAGACCCATTTCCAACTATAACTGCGCAGCACAACTTCCTTTTCACTACCATTTACATATAGTCATTTTTAAGACCTGAATGACTTTTCCTTATTGCAGTGTGCTACCAGCCCACAAACATAATGATCACACTTCAGTGGTTATCCTTTCTTGAAGTACCTGAACTACTCATTCATTAGCTTCCATGGGATTTGTCACTCTGAGCTTGCTTTTGGATTCTATCTTATGAGTTATGACACTATAGTTCTGTAGGTGTTTACCAGTATATTTAAGAATCCGTCTGTCTCCATTTTCATGGGTAAATGAAGGCAACAGATTCCTCCATGTTGTCAGTAACTGCTTACAAGATAACTCGTTGTGAACCAGATGGCCATAATCTAAATTTTCACTACAGTGAAAATGTCTGATCTCTTATAGGCCTGAGATTGCTTTATTTGTCTTGATGTTCAGTATTTTCTTGTTTATTTGTCTTTATATTTAGTGTGTTCAAAGTTTGTACTTAGTATCACAGTGAGTGCTCATCACTTGTGTTCCAGACTTGAGAACCACCCATTTCAAAATTATGTATAGAGATCAACTGTTCTGGCTGAGATTTCCATACATATAACAAAGCATTAGCCATTTGAGGAATGCTGTTCATCTGATTTACTATAATAACTTCAATTTGAAAACATTTCTTATTTCATGTTTATCAGGTGCCTAACAGATTTAATGTTTTGTCACGTGTTAGTGACTAGACACGAGGCTTTGTTTGATAATTGGATTTATTGAACACGTATAACTTGTAACTACAAATAACTGTAATCATCTCTCTAATTTACATGTTCTATAGATTACTACAACTACACAGAATTTTTTATTTGCTCACTAGCTGTTGCTGGCCGTTAACAGTGCAGCTCGAGAGTGACTGGACTGGCAGTCAGTTGGGTTGGGATTACATGCTTGAAATATATTTTATTCATTAATAGCTGTGCTTATATCATTGATTTATGAATGATGGCAGGCCCATAATGCATTAGTAAGATCTGTTTGTTTCAGATGACTCTCTGGGAACTACACTGAACAACCATAAGCCATCAACATACTCCCCAGGTGACAAAGGCCCAGGTGGCTTAGGTGCAACCGCAACAAAACGTCCACCTATTCATTTCAATAATAACTTGGGCACATCCACTTGGGCTGGGACTACAGGTGGTGGAGCAGGAGCTGGAGTTGGGAGCATTGGAACCGGGGAGAAGAACATTCTTAAAGGAAACAGTGGAGCTAAGAATTGTAGAAACTGTCAAGATGATAAGAAAGGTTTGTTATCCACACAATGAGCCATGATTATATCTGGGGTTTACTACTCTGAGCTTTCAGATCTCTGGAAGCAGCCATAAATCTTGACCTACTTATATTATGATGCACACTTTATTTACATATCAGAGTGCTGGTAGTAATGAATGTACCCATTAACACAAGTGGCCTTATTGGCAACCACTAATTTCTTTGTTTGGCATAGACCTTTTTTTTTTGTGCATTGTTAGAGTGCAGGGCTTAGAGCTTTCAGCCAGTATTATCACACTAAGGTGTAATCCCATGTAGTCTGGTAGAAGTTCACCATTCTTTTAAAGAGCCATACTTCCTCCATCATGAAGTTTTGAACTGTATACCACCTGCCTTATGCTGGGTAGTTGCTTGTCTTACTCTTCATCACAGAAGATCGCAGCATCATGTTCCTCCAAAATGTTGTTGAACTTATACCAGTCTACATGGCATCACTTTGCAGGGATATTATTCATTATAGTCATTGTTGTAAATAAACCAGTTACTTTGGTATGGCAGAAATTATTGTGCTATTAATAACTTTCATCTTCAGTAACATTTTCCTACCAGTAATAATTATTATTTACAAAGCAGTATTTTAAATGAAAATATGTATTAACATGGGGCTTCAGCCGAACTAGATGATAAACTAAAAGTGAATGAATCAACTTTTATAAGCCTGAACTTCAGATTGGGGTCTTCTTGGTCATGTCACTGTGTAGTGTTTTAGACTGATGCCAGCATTTTGGAGGAACATCTTGCCTTCATCTTCAGGGTTGAAATGTATAGGTTAAGGAAATGGCTTTGTTATGTAAATGGGTTTCAAAGAGAACCAAGGGAGAGGGTATGAAAATGGAACCTAATCTGGGCCAGTGGGAATAATGGGTAGGAAAATGGCCTCTTAAGGGGAACACCAAGTTTTTCACATTTGAAATAGACCTCAACTTAATGCAAAACACTAAATGCAAAACAATTTGTGCCTCAGATCCTTTAATAATTGTGCTTTATGAAGTGCATACATTTTGTAGCATTAAGTAAGAGGATTATGCACAGCGAATTTCAAAGGATATGATGAAAATGATTATGACTTGTTTTAAGATAGTATTACAGAATTTTTCTGGGTGGACTTATAAAACTGTGTATGACTGCAGGATAGTTGGCCTCTGGGCCAAGATTTAAGCTAGGAAATTTTAAATTTGTCCAGTGATTAGAAAATTAGGAATGTATAAATTGAAGGCTTCCACGGAAGTTAATTGCTTAGTCAGAGCCACTATGAGAAAACCCAATGCCAAATTAAGATTCAGAATATGTTGTCCAGCCCTATAATAACTACAAATGCAGTTCGACAAGGGGATTCCCTAGCCTGCCTTTTGTTCAATATAGCATTAGAGAAGGTAGTTAGAGATGCAGGCATCAACCCAAGGGGAACCATATTCTATAAGTCAATTCAAATTTTGGCATTTGCAGATGATATTGATATAATTGGTAGAACACAAAAATCTATGAAAGAGCAGCAAAAAAGATGAATCTGCAAATTAACCAAAATAGAACAAAGTACATGCCGGTAACCAAGAAAGACTGTGCTAATGGACCTGCATATATTGAAATTGGCTCATATAAATTTGAGGTTGTGTGTAGTTTTACTTACCTTGGATCAGAAGTTAACTGTAAAACTGACATCGGTGATGAAATAAAAAAGTGTGTACTTGCGGCAAATGAATGTCTCCATGGCCTTAGGAAACACCTGAAATCCCAACTAATACCCAGGAAAACCAAAACTATGATGTATAAAGTACTTATAAGATCAGTGCTATCTTATGCCTCTGAGACCTGGCCACTGTCAAGATCGGATGAAAGACTGTTAAGTATATTTGAAAGGGGGATCCTGAGATATATCTTTGGACCAGTGGAAGAAAATGGAATACGGAGGAAGAGGTATAACCATGAACTATATAAACTATTTAATGAACCAGACATTATTGGATCTCTAAAGATGAAAAGGCTTGAATAGGCTGGACACATAATACGTGCCAGCGAGAATAGAACAATTAAGAAAATACTTCATACTAAACCAGAAGGAAATAGGAAAGTGGGAAGACCAAGGTTGAGATGGGAAGAATGTGTGTGGCAGGACATAAGAATTTTGGGTGTAAAGAACTGGAGGAATGTAGCATCAAATGGAGAAGAATGGCGAGCAATCCTGAGAAAGGCCAGGGATCACAAAGGGCTGTCATGCCAGTGATGATGATGATGATGATGATAATTTGAAGTCTGTAGAGTTCATTGGAACAAAACATGCATCATAAATTATCTGTGTTTATATACTGGGATATATTCTCTGTCTTACCTCCCTCCAAAAAAGAAACATCCACCATACATATTAGTAGAGCTTGGATTATCATGTAAATTATTTGTTACTATGTAGATGTTCAGAAAGTAATGATCTCCACAAATTGCAGCATTAGCATTGCTACAATTGAATTTTATTCTACATATTATTTCCTACATGTTTCATGGGATGTTACATAAAATTACATATTTTGTGATATTTTTCTTTACTTGCATTTTAAAATGCAAAGTGCCTACATTTTTTGTATTTTGGTTTAATACCAAAGTAATAGTCTCCTCCACCCTTCCGGAAGACTTTTTCTGCAATGATGGGGAAATCCAAAAGGAAATATCTCTTTTGTGAAGCAGCGTAAACTGCAACACCTGCATATTTCCACACATTGGTGTGACCTGCACATTGAGGATTTTTCTGAGAGTTTGATTGATATTCCTTTGTATTGCAGTTAAAAACGCCTCCCCCTCTTACCAAACATACTCGTCCACTCTTAACAGCCTGCATTCATGTCCTGAAATTTTTTAAAGTGATTCTAGTTTTGTATTGATAATTGAATGAGTTCAGTTCAGGTTTGCATAGTCAATATCGTTATGCCACCAGTCACATCATCTCTGGCTTCAAAGTTATATTTATGGGTAAAAATAGACAATTCCTTCACAGCCGATGGTAAAATTGTAATATGTCTGGCTTGTGACAGAAGTATTGGGTGTTCCATAAAATCACAGTTGGAGCAACATGTATGAAGCTTGTTCTTTGAGCCTAGCCATGTTTTGACATCTTCTGTCAACTCCTCATTATTGTTGAAGCACTGTGATCTCAACCAGTGCTTCAGATAGGTAAACAGGTAGTAGTCCCTCAGAACAAGATCAGGGCTGTAAGGAGGTTGATCAAACAACTCCAAGTTGAAATGCTCCAGCATTGCTTGAGTTTGAGCAACTGTATGCGGATGTGCATAATTATGGCGGAGCACTGCATCAGTGCCAGCATTCCATGTCTTTTGTTCTGAATGACCCTGTGCGGTTTTTATTAGTGTTTTGCAATACACTTCTGATGTTATTTTGGTCCCTTCTTGCATGAATTCCACCATCAGCACTCCTTTCCTGGCCCAGGAAGCGGTTGCCATCAGCTTTTTGGCAATCAACATTTGTTTAAACTCTTTCAGCTTGTTTAGTGAATGTGTGTGTATCCACTGTTTGTCTGCTCATGGTGTCAGCATTCACAAATGAAACCCAGGTTTCATCGCTTGTTATGTGTACGATGTGATTGAGAAATTCATCGCCATCTTTGTGGTATGGCTCTGAAAAAGTGAAAGCTGAAGCCATTCTCTGCATTTTATGTGCCCCTTTGAACATTTTGGAACCTGCCTCACACACAACTTGTGATAGCCTAGCCTAACTGTCATAATCTCAAAGAGAACAGTGCATGCAATTTGTGGAAATTCATAAAAAGTTCTGAAACCGTGAAGTGCCATCTTTCACAAATCTTTTGGTCAACACTTTGAACAAGATCACTCCTACAGATAGCTTACAACTTTGCTCTTTATTGTGAACATTTGTTTGCCCGTCTTTAAACACACTACACCTTTGTCTTACATTTCCTTCGCTCATTACATTTTGGCTCTAACTGTGCATAATTCATGATGAATTTTCACAGCACTCGTGTTATTAGCATGAAGAAAGGAGGATAACAGTGCAAATTTCACAGCAGGCAGATTATCAATCGCAAGCAGCCTCCATAGTCTAGGGGTAACATTCCCACTTCATGACTCAAGGTACGCGGGTTCAAACCCGGCGGAGGTCATGGAATTTTTAAGGGCGGAAAAATTCAGGGAACAAGGCCTCTGGGAGGGACTTCAAGCCATGTGTCCCGTGTCATAGATTTACGGCACGTAAAAGAACTTCATGTCTCTAGGAGACCTTTGGGCTAAATTAGGCAAGTTTCCCCCCCAAGTAGTTTCCAATGCCTCTGGTAGATGGGGGAAGCATCAAGGTACGGAGGGCCGACCTCGTTGGCTCAAACAGGGCTGATAGTATGCACCAGTACCGGTAGGGTATGGAGACTGGTAGAATATCAAAGGGGGACGTACAATAGACTATCAGTCACGGTGCATGGGGAAACCCACCCCCTCCAATAATAATAATAATAATTATTATTATTATTATTATTATTATTATTATTATCAATCACAGGACACATCGTAAGTCACTCTGTAGGTACAAGAGCAAACACTAGGTGACAAGTTATATGATGGTTTATGAGGCAATGAGTCACATGATGCTACCTTACAGGCATGAGCTTTCCCATGCTCCTACATTAGTTGCCTAAAATAAATGGATATTACTTTCCCAATAACCCTTGTATTGTATGCTTCTCTGATGTGTGATACGTTTGATCATATTGGTCCATGTGTTGTAAACCACTATGATGAACATTCTTTATGTTTTTAAAAAATCAGTAAATAACTCAAGTTTCTTCTTAGTTGGCATTATGGCCATGGATTATACTATGTAGCAGATTGTGAACTTAGGATTTCTGTAATTTCTGCATAGTAAATTTAAAATTTTAGATGCAAAGTAGAATTCCATTGTTATTTAGAACTTGAAACAACTTTAATTATACCTCTTACATAGGCAAAAGTGATGCAAAGACTGGATTTGCTGGAGCAGGTTCTGCAAGGTCAGTGTTAGCCCGAAGTAGCTCTGCATCGGGCACCCACAGCTCTGGAGGGTCTGAAAAACCTGGACTTGGCAGGAGACGAGGCAAGAAAAGGGATTGTCACTCGCCTTTAGGTAATATCTTAATAATAATGAAAAGTAATTATCAAAACTGTAATTTAAGTTCACTCAGTTACCATATTTGTCCAGCTATAAGGTGATCCCACTTCAAAACAAAAAATATGTATATTAGTTGTGCAGTGAACATTTTTATATTCAGTTCTCCAGCCCAAACATAACTTCTTCCAGTCTTTATAATGGCCAACTATGGATGCAGAGATGCTTTTCTGGTAAACTTGCAGCTAGTAATTGTTCTGTGTGTTTCCTCATCCCCATGTTGGCTCCAAAGGTGTGGAATCTTCTGGATGCCAACCACTTGTTAGTCTGTTTGGTATACCTCCATAACCATTAATTTAAAACTAATATATAGTTTGCAAGATGAGTGAGTATCAAGAGTCTCACTTGCTTCCATGTGTATTCCCATGATTATATTGGTACATATTGTTATGTGTTACTGACTAGACATGGAGTTTGGATTAGAAATTGAATTTATCATACTCTTACAAACAGTGAGTACAATTAGTTATAGTGCTATGGAGAGTCCATACATTTCGACATTGGACGAAAGTGGCCAGAAAACCTAAAAATCTAAGGGACACGTCAATGGAAGTGACCCACTCAAGCCACTGAAGTGTACAATTCTTAACTAAGACAGCAAATTGACTAAAAGATTGTAGTATCTGATTGTCAATAAAGGAGGGGGAAAAACGATTTGCAGTTCACTACTGCACACACCAAGTCTTCTCAGTCAGATACGTCTTCACCAGTCTTTCTATGGTAACAGCTTCCAACACTGTAGATTCCTCAACTTTCATGTTCATGCCCTTGCCAGCTACCAACTCTCTCACGGCTCCTACTGGGTGCAACTCCTATCCATTGACTTCTAGTTGCATGTGGCCACCACTGGCTGCCACTCACTATAGCAGGCTAGCAATCACACCTGACTCAAAAGTCACATTGTGACTGACGGTCAGTCAGTCAGTAATTTTTGGTGTCAAGCCCCATTTGAGGCTCATGACCAGATATTAATTATTACTTCTTGACAGTTATGGTCTTGTTTCTGTGGGGCGCCTTCTCTGACGAGAGGACGGATCTGTCTTTTGTATATGCTGCTGGCTCTTGCCAGCGCAGTCTTTCTTGGGTCCGAGTCCCTTGAGACTCACGACCATATTTTACTGTCTCAGAATTGAGACTTCCCTTTTCGTCGCCTCCTACGACTCGCAGGGTCACGGTGGAGGTATTCGACCCCACCTCCACACAGGGTACTCTCCTCCCCCCTCACACCTGACTGAGAACTCTTCTGTCACTAAAGCTCCAGTTTGCTCTCATTATATAGCCTCTGTACAGACTGCATAGAAAACACTGCCTACAACAGTTCTATTGTTGCATGTGTATTTGTTATCACAGAAGCATGTTTACCAAACTGTTCTGTAGCAATAGCTGTCTGTTCTGGCTTTGTATGGACATGTTACACAATACAGGATGTCCCGATGAAAGGTATCCAAAATAAGAAATTTGTATCTCAGAGCTGTCAGACACATATCTGGTTTATATCATCAGAAAGGAAAACTCTGAAAGTTTATTTCTTGCCCAGCCTACATACATGTGCCAGCTGGTGAGTTTTGGCAAAAACAGTAACAATGTTGACACCACAGGAACAGGTTCAGTGTGTGTTGTGGCTAGCAGAGTTGCAATCTCTTATGGCCGTCCACCTTCATTTTAGAACACAATATGTATGTCAACCTCCTACATGGAAAAGCATTTGGTTCTGAGACAACAAACTGAGGACTACAGGTAGTCTGTTGCATGTAACGTCTCCTGGAAGTACATGGACCTCTGAAGAAAATGTGAGTCACATTAGAGAGGCATTCCAGCGAAGTCCACACAAATCAATTTGTCATACTGGCTTGCAGTTACAAATTCCATGTTCAGCAGTGCCGGATGTGCGACACAAAAGACCTAAGAGCATACATGATTCCGATGATTCATGCCCTAAAACTGAGTGATGAAGTAGCATGTACAAACTTCACTGTCGACTTAACTAGCAGGAATCGATGTGCCACCCGATTTCCTCCACCAAGTGTGCTTCTCGGATGAAGCAACATTCCGTGTCAGTGGGGCTGTAAACAGGTACAACTGCAGGATTTGGGGCAGTTAAAATCCACATTCCACATGTAAGTTGGAGAGAAGCAGCCCAAAAGTGCCTGCTTATTGCACAACAAGTTGATTAGAACGTTTTTCTGGAGTTGCTGGAGCTATATGCACTACCCTAATTACCATCTCAAACTGTCCTCCAAGAAGATGGGGCACCGCCACATTTCTGCCACCATGTTAGGAACGACCTGGACAGAGAGATGGCTGGGAGATGGATCGGCAGAGGTGAACCACTTGCTTAGCCACCTAGGTCACCAGATTTAACCCCATTGGATTTTTTCTTGTGGGGTTATGTTAAGAACATTGTCTACTAGGTTAAGATCAGTGACCTTCAACACCTGAAAGCCCATATAAGGGATGCTGTGACTATGGTAACTCCAAACATGCATCAGGCAATGTTGAACGAGGTGAAATATCATCTGGATATTTCTTGTGCCACCAAGGAAGCCCACATTGAAATTTGCTGAGAAAATTATATACTCAGAAGAAAGCTTTGACAGTTTCCCTTTGTAATGGTGTAACCCATGTATGTGTATAATAAATGCTTTCTGAGATATAATTATTTTCTTTTGGATACCTTTCATCTGGATATCCTGTATGAATATTCAGAACTGGCACTGGTTCTGTATATCAGCATACCTGAAATAATTTCTTAACAGTGACCAGGGAAGTGTCAAGATAGTGTATAGTGACTAGACCCATGGGATGTATGGCTAAGTTTCAATTCCTGGCAGGTGCAGAAAATATTTATCTTCTCCATAGCATCCAGACCTGCTCTGGTTCCCACCCAGCCTCCTGTACAGTGGGCGCTGGGGGTTCTATCCATGGGAGTACAGCAGTACTGGCATGAAACTGACCACTGACCTCCATCTAATGCTGAGGTCAAGAATGGTGGAACTGTACGTCCACTGCCCCACATGGTCTTATGGCATAATACCTACATATATAATTAAATGCAGGGATAGCTTTACCTTTTTACCTTACAGTCACCAGGAAGGATAAATGTGCACTGGTGCATCCATAAATTCAGCAGCACCTAGCAAATGTGGCATATGTTGAAACACGCAGATGCTTGGGAGTATTAATATGAGAATTCACAGAAATGAGTCTTCAATAAATAAGCTTTGCTTTTAGTTTATACATATTTTAGTCATTTTTAACTGAATTTTAATGCCTGGTGAGTCCCCAAGTTTGATATGAAATTAATATTTTAAGAAATCCTTTGCTACTTCAAAATTGGTATTATGTGGAAGGCTGAAAATGTTATACATATTTTTACCTCATTCCCTTTGATGTTTTAAATGCATACCGACCAGTAGTCATAATAAACACTGCCACATGTACCAAAGAAGTAATGTATGTTTAATTTGGATCTGTAAACAGATTACATTCCTGACTCTTTCAGGTTCAAAGAATAAACTATCCAGAAAAGGACCTTTTGTGGCTGTATGCTGTAAAGAACACATTTTCATGAAGCTTGTTGTTGATAGCCTGTATCAAACTTAACTGGAAAAAAAAAATCTTCTTATTTGTTTGGAAAGATTAGAATCCAGATCTAACAAAAAACTCCTTGGAGCACAGTCATTCTTCAGAAATTGGTAATGTGGTTGCCTGGCTGGTCCAGAAATTCCTTGCCTTTTATGAAACTGGAAGATTCATTGATCTGTTTACAAGATTACTGAACCAGTCCACACCTTTGTACCTAGCTTTTTTAATATTCTCTGGGAACTGAGGTAGCTCAGTTGGTATAATGACAGGCTACAGACCGGATGGTGAGGGTTCAATTCCCAGCAAAAGCAAGAGAGTTTTATCTTCTTCTTAGTATCCAGACTGGCTCTGGGGCCCACCCAGGCATCTTTGCAATGGGTACAATGTTCTCTTTCCCCGGGTAAAGTAGCCAGGGTGTGAAGCTGACCAGTCACCTCTGTCTAGTGCCAAAGTCAAGAATGATGGATCTGTACCTGCACTCTCCCATATGTCTTCATGATACAGTACTTAATTAAGCACAGGGACAAGTTTACAACTTTTTTAATATTGTCATATCTCATTTTTGCCCCTAAGTAGTCCCTTTCCAGCAAATTTCTGGCTAAAATTGTGTATTCATCCTCATCCATCACTTTTTATAAAATCCATACAGAATCTGTTATGTTCTGAGACTTTATGGTTAAAAGGAAACTAAAGGAATTTACTGTAAAGCTTTTGTTTAAATTGAAAAATGTGAACATTTACCCATACCCAGTTTTCAGTTTGAACGGCAATGAAATTGTAACTCGAGAGTGAATATTCCTACTCAGTTGAAATATTGGATAAAGACATTGTTGGGCATAATCACTGATATTATGGTTGTACTAAAGTAAGTAACATATTTATTCTGTGCAGTATAATTCCCTCACTGTTTTCTGATTGCGAGATTTACTTATCATGAGAAGCTGCCTCCGTAGTCTAGAGGTAACGTTCCCACCTCATGACTCATATTACGCGGGTTCAAATACCCGGCGGAGGTCTTTGAATTTTTAAGAGCGGAAAAATTCAGGGAACAAGTCCACCGGGAGGGACTTTAAGCCATGGGTCCTGTGTCGTAGCTTTATGGCACGTAAAAGAACCTCATATCTCCAAAGGAGGTCACTGAGCCAAATTACGGACGTTTCCCGCCCAACAGCAGTCTCTAATACCTCTGGTAGATGGGGGAAGCATTATAGATACCTCTCAGCTAGTAGAGCCGGTCTCGCTGGCTGGGCGGGACTGATGGTAAGCACCAGTACCGGTAGGATATAGAGACTGGTAGAAATCATAGAGGGAAGCACAATGGACCAATACAGGTCTAAGTGCATGGGGAAACCCACCCTCTCCAATAACTAACTAACTACTTATCATGAGACAGGTGTCATTAATTTGTTTTGGAAACTGCATTCATTATATTGAAATGAAATCACTCATGGACTGTGTGTTTTCCAGAAGAGTTAAATAATTCTTTCCTCAAGCTTTAATGTATGAATCGTGCAGAACATGCACATACTTACAATAGGGGGGGGAGTTTTATTTATGGAAAATTCTCAAGAAATTAAAGGTACCCCACTCCCAACCTGCATAATTGTTGAAGTCATCTATAACGGTTTTAAAGTTGACTCTTGGCCAATGTAAAACCTTTACTTAGGTTGTTATATTTATCACTTCAGTTTCATTTTTTTCCACATGATCTCTTTTTCTTTCCATTACAGCTGTAGTATTTCATCCAGCCAAGCAGCATGTCACACGTTGGGGTCAGATAGCTGTGCAGATAATCTTTTGGTTCTTCCATCTGCTCTCTGATGTCCTTAGTATGAGTGTTCGTCTCTTTGTGCATCTGTAAGTCCTTTTCTGAGTAGACCCATACAGATCAGAACATAATACAAAGGGTATTCATCTGTAGGAACTTCAATATATTTGAACATTTCACATTTAATCTGTATTATAAAAACATTGTCTGACTTCCATTTCCTTCCATTTTGCCTGTCTGATGATTGCCAGGAGATCTTATAAGGTGTACTGCATAAAGCAGTGTATTCAGTATTTACAGAACTTTTCATCATGTGGCACTTGCCAGTAAATAATGGAACCTAGTTTCGGTTAAAATGAGAATAATTCAGTGTTTGTTTCTTGCAGTAATTTTATGTCAGTTTGGAGGTCAAGTGCCCTACTGTTTTCATTGCGTATGAAGTTTGTTAAAGATGCTTGTAGAGGACAAAATATACACATAATGACAAGAGGGAAATAGATAAGTGATATAAAAAATAAGGAATATCATTATTTCAGTCATTTTATTTTAAGAAAAAACAAGACAAAGAATGGGCACTTGGCCAGCCTGTAATGTAACATCCTTCTCTGTTTTTCACTTTCCTTGTGGTGGGGGGTGCTTGTTTCAATTCGAATTTGGGCCAAGCTTAGTAGCTAATATCACTGTCAACAAATCAGAGGCTCACAAAGCTGTCACATGCATTTGTTTATCAGACAAGATATGTAATGCTTAGGATGGTTTTATTTTTTAACCATTATCTTAGAAAGTGAATGGTCCCCATGGTTTTAAATGTGTTGTGTAATTTGCAGGTGCACGTTTATCTATGACTGGTTGTGCACATGGTCAGTCCACTCATGGGAAAAGTTGAGTGGTACAATACTGCAATTCAAAATTTTAGAAAAATTAGGCTTTCGTCGTGGCTGGTGGAACATCTGGAGAAGTCAGAGAAAGTCTTCATGGGGAGAACACTCATCAGCATGTGGTGGGGATGGAGTCGGTTTTAAGGATGGCTTTCCACCCGGGTTGGAGAGTAATATTTCTTTACCTTCCACTGGTGAGGAAGCCATGCGAAGGCTTCTGGCATGCAAAGGGAAGGATCCTTACAGGTAATATACTGAACAGCTTGGCTTTCATGTTTTAAGGGAGTGCCTCCATCAGATTTCATCCAGGACACCAGCTCTCCAGACTGATATTCGCCAGACATTTGTTTGTGTGTGTGTGGTGTTTTAATGACTTGCATAAAATAAACACACATTTGAGGTGTTATGACAGTTCATCCTTCATCCTGTATGTCTTATCTCCAAACCCACATATCAGAGAAATTTGTCTACACTCAATATAGGCTCTACTTCGTATGAAACTGAAATTAAACTTATCACTGTTGTTGGAAGTATATCATACAGGTTTGTACATAACAAAGTGTAGGTCTCATTAAGATATATAGCATATACTTGTATTTTTTGTAATACCTATGGATGATGAACATTTGATGAAAGTGCTAGAAAGAATGAATTTTGGCTGTGTAATATATCTGTATTGTAATCAGCTTTGCCAAAGTAGGCTTGTTTCTGCAGTAATCGATTATAAAGGCCAGTGAGATATGCAGACTTATAAATAGCTCTAGTGAATTCATGAATTTTAGGGAATAACTGTACCTTGAGATAGGTCATGATTGCTTGCTTCTGCATACTTTCCATGTCACATCACATAATCATCCTCTCATCTCATTCATTGTTAAATATACTTTGCAGTTGATAAAATGTTGTGAAATCATGAACAACTGAAACTTACCATTTCAAGTTTATGACTTGTTATAATATCATTTACTCTATTTGCCTGTAGTGCATACAATTTTGTAAATGTTCAGTGTTTTGATAATATGTGGCTCATGTTACAGCATGTTGTGTGCAAACATATATTATGTTCATGTATTATGAGAAGAAAAAATCTGTTTCAGCATTCTGGGGGTAACTCCTCAGTGCACAGATGATGACATAAAGAAGTACTATAAGCGACAGGCTGTCTTAGTTCATCCAGATAAAAACAACCAGCCAGGTGCAGAAGAAGCATTCAAGATACTTGTTCATGCTTTTGAACTTATTGGGGAACCTGTGAGTGTATTATGTTTTTGATATTGATTGCAGGTATTGATTTCCCTCCAAAGTTATGAGACATTGCCCTACCCTTCTTCAGGAACTAGCCCAAAAAATAGGGTAACCCCATATTCTCTGATTCCATTGTTGATATCATACTGCCAAGGTGGATGGGTGCTAATATAAGTAGAGAAATAATTTGTCCAGCTTACAGACCATTAGTACGCCATCCCAGGCAAGGGATACCCTATCCCAGATTAATGGGGTACTACTCTACCACAGAGAGGAAGAGAATTTAACAGAATATCTGATGTTTATGTTGAATAATATAAATATTATAATGGTAAAAGTGCACTTAGTAGTTCTTAAACTGTGCATGAACAGGAAATAGGCAAAAAGTGCAGAATGGCTAAGCTCCAGATGTAATACACCATTCCAAAATGGCCAGCTGTTGAAGGTAGCAGCATATTCAACAGACATTGAGTGCACAAATCTGCAGCATGGCTAAATTTGTGTGATATTACATGATATGGAAAGTTGTCAAATAATGCAAATTACATAAACTATAAACACAAAAAATGAACTCTGCTGTGGGTAGCACTGCTCTCTACTATGTCTCCATATACACAGCAAAGTTAGGTGCATGAAGAAAATACAGTACATACCTGCACGGGCGAATATTTTTCTAGAAGTACAACTTGACCATTACAGGTAATTTTCCAGAACACTGTAAATGAAGTTGAACACTCTCAGTTCAAATAAAATAAGTTGCTGTTACTTTGATACAGAATGAACCAAAAGAAGTACCTGCCTTGTAACCTACCAGAAGCTGAAGTCATTTGCAGTACACATGCACAGTAAGGGCCTCCTGAAATGTAGTCATTCCAACAAACATGCCAAAACAAACTTCTAGAATTTAACATGGCAGCATGCACAATAAGAAAGAACACATGAAACGAAACTGAATATGTTATACTATCACATAATCTCGCAAAAAGAGAACACTTCAGTGCTTCACAGTGTGAGATCATAGAAGCTCTGTGGATGGAAGAAAGGAATGAGATCAGTTAGAAGGACTTGTATGAGTCATACACCGTTGAGAAAAAGTAAGGAAAGATGGTATTGTGGAGGCAGCAGTGGTGGTGGGGCGTGGGGGAAAAGCAGTTGTTGGGGTCTTTTTTTTGTCACTGCTGCTACTGCTGCTGCTGCTGCTGCTGCTGCTGCTGCTGCTGTTGCTGTGTGGGAAGAACTCATTACTGAAGTACAGATTCTCTTATCATCTAATCTTAAACTTTTACTCCATCTTCTGTCTGGATTTGATCATCAAGTCTTGTACCATAATCATGTTTGTAATGTATATAACTTGTGGGAATGTTTATAATAAGTATTCATACAGAATTTTATCTTCCTGGTTATGGGAGTCCATTTGTTATTGTTATCAAATTGAAAAGGTTTTGACATTGCTAGAGTTCTTTTGTCATATTTCAGTACCATTCCATGACCCTGTATAAAGTAGTCCTGATGTCACTCCTGTATTCTAAGTTCCTGTCTCTAACCTGTTGTTCTTTCTGACTGTAAGTAATTAAAATGTATGTGGTGCAATCCAAAAGTTCCCGAAATTTGAATTTTGTGCACGAATGGTTATGAGTGCATCGAAATACCGCTAGGTGTCTCCCAACACACCCTTCTTGAATCAGTGTGGCAAGCGGTGTCGAGTTGAGTGGTTCGGTTTATTGTTGGTGAATGTATTTCCATTGTTGTGTTTCCGTGATTTTGCGGTTTTATGATGGCTGACCTGAGAGATAAGCATGTCTGTATAAAGTTTTGGTTTAAACCTGGGAGAACTGCTGCAGAAATGCACCAAATGTTGAAGCAAGCTTTTGGTGACAACAGTTTAGGCCAGACACATACTTATGACTGGTAGAAGTGTTTGAAAAATGGCCGAACATCGACTGATGATGATGATCATTCAGGACAGCCGTCAGCTGGCACCACACCAGAGAATGTCGCAAAAGTTATGGATCCGATTCTGCAAGATTGTAGACTGATCATCCAAGACCTCTGTAACACCTTGGGACTAAGTTATGGTACATTTCAATGAATTTTGTCAGAGGAACTGAACATGAGGAGGATTGTGGCGAAGTTTGTGCCATGACTGCTGCAAAATGAACAGAAGCAGCATCGCTTGGAAGTCTGCAGGGAACCTCAACAACAGCTTCAAGAGGATCCAAACTTTCTTTTGAAGGTTGTTACTGGTGATGAAAGTTGGGTTTATGGCTACGACCCTGAAAGTAAGCAGCAGTGGTCACAATGGATGAGCCCTTCTTCACCCAAGTCAAAAAAGCTCGACAAGTCAAGAGCCACATTAAGTCCCTGTTGATCTGTTTTTTTGATATTGATGGGATTGTTCATAAGGAGTTCATCCTTCCTGGTCAGACAGTCAATAAAGAGTTCTATCAAAATATTCTAAGGCGTTTGAGGGAGGATATGGGAGAAAATGTCCAGAGAAGTGGCGCACGAACAACTGGGTACTCCACCTTGACAACGCACGACTCCATACGCCTTACATTGTGCAGGAATTTTTGGCTAAAAGCAAGATGGCAGTTGTTCCCCACCCACAGTACTCACCAGACTTAGCTCCATGCGACTTCTTTCTCTTCCGCAAGATGAACATCAAGTTGAAGGGGCAAAGATTTGATACAGTTGAGGAAATTCAAGCGGAAACGCAGACGGTACTAAACACCCTAACAAAGAAAGACTTCCAGGATGCATTTGAAAAGTGGCAGAAACGCTGGGATCGGTGTATGTGCTCCCAAGGGGACTACTTTGAAGGTGATGGTGCAGAATAAGATCCAGGTAAGACGTAATAATTTTTATTAATATATTTCAGTAACTTCTGGATTGCACCACGTATGAGGTTTCAGTGGTCTTTAGTGCCATACCAAATTTCATGAGATTGATGTGTTGGTTCAAAAGTTGGAAGGGATGCACATTCATGGAAACCTGCTCTTTTTCCATGAGAAAGAAAAGTAGGCTGGCAACTGTAGTGGCAGTAGAAATAATAAGATTGTTTTTAAGTAGGATAAGTACTTTAGTAATAACATGTTAATTGTGTAAATGTAAATAGTACTGTACTAACTGTTCTCTGGGCATTAATCTACACTGTGGATATGAAGTCAGTTAAGTACGTGGAGTAGATTAGTAGGTATAATTTTCTTTGTTAAATGTTATTTTCAGAAATTGCCATGACTATATATATATATATAGGCATTATGTCAACCGTCAACATAACAAATATACTCAGTTTTAATATTCAGTCTTTATTGCTGCTACATGTTTCAGTCATACAAGACCATCATCAGGCAGTTGTACACAGGAATATGTACAGTCATTGAACTACTAATATGGATCCATATCCATGCAGTGTGTCATATTATATACTAACATAAAACTCTTGCCTCAAGTTGTTATAATTAAAGTAGCAAATACATAAATAAGATAACTATAACGGTTATAACGGTATACCATATATCAGGATTTATAATGTGTTGAATATATTATTAAAAACTATTACAAGTATTTTTAAAAATGTTTAAAGAATATATTAAAGGATTTTTCATATGGTAGGTTAAGAATGTGTATGCCAACTTAAATATTTAAGGTTCCACTGCTACAGTCTAGCACATTGGTCATATATGTTTGTAGGTGTTTGTTGTAGAAGTTTTCTACGTAGTAAGCCCAGTTCTTGAGCCCAAAGACAAGTTTCTATGATGTAGTGATTGTTACCGTGTGGTATATTTGTATGCTATTTCCACGATATTTATCTTTATATAATCAACATTGAATCAATGTGCAGTTTAGAACAGTCTGCATGGATGAGGTCTAAAATTTTGTCACCATTTTCTGCCATTTTGATGGTGCTTGGTCAACCTGAACGTTTGTCAGTTGTGGCAGAGATAACTGTAATGTTACTTAAATGTCGGAACAAACTGTCATGGAATTTTATCCATATATCATGCCACATTCAGCCATCTCAACTGCATACTCCATAAATCCTTCTGACCAATAATAGCAACTTTATAGCGTTTAAAATTGTTTAGGTGAAACCCTGATAGTCCTTCAACGCCTGCACCAATCTTCATGAATCCTTGTATGTATATCATGCCATCTTAGCCCATCTCAACAGCATACTTCAATAATTCCTTCCTTCAGTAATACCAACATTACAGCCTTTCATATTGCAGAAGCAAAACCTTAATATTGCTTGAACACCTGTACAAATCTTCATGAAATTTCAGAATTGTGTCATGCCACATTAAGCCATCTGGATGGTGTACGTCATAAATCCCTCCCATCAGTAATACCAACATTGAAGCCTCTTAGATTTCTGAGACAAACCCTTAATATTGCTTGAACAAATGTACCAATCTTCATGAATCTTGGTTTGTATGCCCTGAGGACATCTTAATGAAATACATCAGAAATCCTTCCCATCAGTAATACCAACACTGCAGCCTCCAAATGTCAAGGTAACCTTAATGTTACCTGAATGGCCAACCCAATTTTCATGACTCTTGGTATGCATAAATCCCTCTTATCAGCAATACTAACACTGCAGCCTCTCAGCTGTATTATTTTATTGACAACATTACCCATACATACTAAAGTTTTCTTTCTGCTTGTCCTGTCAGATACTCAAATTACAGTAAAAGGGAAGTAAGCAGTTAGTTCTTTCCAGATCATCTTGTTATTAGTACAATAGCGGTTTGCACTATTTCACAGTAAAGAAATAAAGAGCAAATGATCTGTGTATGTACAAGAAATCACAGAGGTAGCTTCAGACATCATTTAGTGACAAGGAAAATTTACTTGCTCAAAGCACTTTTAGAAAGAAAAATTGTTGAACTTGGCAAAGCATAATCTTGCATGACCAAAATCCTGTACAGTATTCAGGACCCTTTGACATTAATATGAGTGTTTGAAGTTTTTGAAATGAGATGTTAATGTTTTATTTTAAAAAGTATGATACAGGTGGACATTCATGTCTTTTCTGATTGCTGTGTTTTAGGAACGACGGGCAGCTTATAGTAGGAGAGTAGCAGAAACACAGCAAGTAGAACAGGCCTGGACTGAATTGAGTGACTTATTATCACAGCTTCATAAGAAAATGGAGTATGCTGCTAATACCATCAGATGCACTAACTGCAGTAAACGTCACCGTCGCATTCGTGTGGATCGACCCTGCTATGCAGCCAGATTCTGTGCTCAGTGCAAAATTCATCATAATGCCAGAGAGGTAAGATAAAAAGTAACTGATTTCCTGAAAATGTAGTCCTTTGGGTAACAAAGAAATGTATGGACCTGTCAAATGTCAGTGTATTATTTAAACTTCATATTTACCTATATTTTAATAATTTGACCTCCAGTCTATTTTAAAGCCTGTTACTCTCTAAATCTTCATGAACAGCCATCATTTTTTACATCATGTTGCCATTCAGAGTATTAGAATGTGTCATGGATGCTTTCACCTGAGAAATTAAGTGCTTTATCGATGAGATAGCGGAGAGCAAGCTGGCTGGCAGGAGTTCTTAGCATTGATAATAATAATATTTATAATTTGTAAGTATTTTACAAAAACATTCTGAAACTATTTGTACACATATTTTGCATCACATGCTGCATAATCTTATACATAATTTCTTAAAATAATTCCATAAGAATCTTGTACAGTACTGTGAGAAAAAGTAATGGAACTTAGGAATTTTTGTAAATTCTTACAACACAGGAAGAATTAATTAAATGGCTGAGTAGTACTATTGGTTGTTAGCATTATGTTTAGAGACTGTTATATCACACCACATTCAATGGATTACGACTTATTAGCAATATCCCATGTTTGTAAATAGTCGTTAAAGATTATCTGTGAATTTTACAGGGTGATATCTGGGCAGAGAGCTCAATGTTTGGCTTCTTGTGGCACTACTATGCCTGTATGGATGGTGGAGTGTATGACATCACTGAGTGGGCTGCTTGCCAAGCTGACAACCTGCGCCATTTACGTGCTAACACTCACATTGTGCAGTATCGCATAGTCCTTGGGAAGCAGTCACAGCAGCAGTCCCAAGGAAGGCATCATAGTAACAGAACCACACACAGGACTGCTCCAGATTCCAACAGGTAGGCCGGTGTGAGTTCATGGAATCGTGTATTTTAGATTGCTGATGTGAACTCTGATTAATGGTGGACCTCATCTTTAAGAGTTTTCCCATTTTCGTTGATACCTCAATGCTATACCCCGTAACTCTCAGTCATCCCAAACCCTCCCCCCTCCCAATTGCCCACCATCTTCAAATTTCTTCCTTCCACCATGTTTTCAGTCTCCATTTTTTATGTCATCCAGATGTGTTGTAAATTGGTTGTTCTGTCCAGACATGGCCTGCTGTCTCCAACTTACAGGACATAAATACAGTAAAATGCTGATTTTAGACATTATTTATTTATTTATTATCAGTAAAAGGAATATTTGTTAAAATATATATCACTTGTTGCTAAATACAATACTGTGTATAAATATCATGTTCAGATCAAAGCTATACATGTTCACTTTCAGTTACAGTTTATTACAGTACATGTAATAGCACTTCTACATGAGCCACTTCCAGCAGATCCTCTGTACATACACTACAGTAGTGCAAGCTCACGGTCTGTGGTGCAACACTAAAAGTTTAAAATGGATTAAAAATATCTTATTTGTGTGTGTGTGTGTGTGTATATATATAAAATGTAGAATCCAATTTAATAAAGACCCATAGACTCATAACCCTTAAAAGGGGGAAGAAACTTAGCTTCCATTTAGGGAGGTAGAATACCCAGCACTCTTGACGTGACCTCAGTGTGCAAAACAAATCAGCTGTCAGAAAATTCTCAGATTCTGTGAGTGACAAATTAGCACTCAGTTGAGATCAAAATTTTTTTTTCCTCAGTTTGATCTCATAAATTCAAGACTCACCCATTACTGTTATAAACTGTATTCTGCCACAGTTTCACTATGTATTTTTTGTCTCTCCCTCTTATGGCAAATAATGACGTGACCAGTTGACCAGTGGCGAAGAGTACTTCATGTTGGATTCTTCATCTCTGTGAAATGGAAAAGCAGACCCCTGTTATAGCCGCAGATTCTTGGAATTTTAGTGTTTTCTAGTGGATGATGTCTCTTCAGTTTTAGAACTGTATGAAGACATTGATCATTATATTGTAAATAAACCTGTTTAGACATAGATATTAATAATATCTCTGCTGTGCAGAGACAAATATGGACTGCTCCTTGAAAAACCTGCTGTTTTACCAGTCTATGCACTGCCCAGTATGGTCACTGTCAAGTTTATGACCCAAAAATTGGTTTGGATAGCTCCCCAGTTTTACTTTGTGTCATTTCTCCTGTATCTTTAACCGTTCAGCGTNAAAAAAAAGAGCAAAAGAAAATATACGCAGTATTGGTGTGGTGGGATGTGAGCCAGCGCTGTGTTTAGACGAATGCTTCAAGGCGTCACCTGCTTGATTGCCGAGATACCGGGCGTTCATATTATAAGGCAAGGTTATAAAACCATCTTTTAAGATCATTTTAGTGAAAGTTTCATCCTTCAAGGCGTACCATTCACTGCTCAAATACTAAACAACCTGCTTGCATTGCCGAGATACAGGGCGCTCATATTATAAGGTAAGGTTATAAAACCACCTTTTAAGATCATTTTAGTGAAAGTTTCATGTTCCTATCTCATATAATTTAAGAACAATGATGAATAAATCATTTTCGAGCAAAATTTAAATGGACGGCTGAATATATTACCGCCGGAGAGACGGCCGCGGAATTTAAATGACCGCGCGGAAGGGTTAATTAGTTCACAGGCAGATAAAGTATCGTGTGTGTGTGTGTGTGTGTGTGTGTTGATAAATTGTCAGCCTATATTAGATGGGAAGTTGTGAATTTGTTTCAGTGAGCCTGATTTGGAGAACTTCCTCAATAACCTGTACAACCAGTCTGGTGGAAGTGGAGCAGGTGCAGGAGAAGGAGGATACTCTGACCAGGGACGAAATCGTAGGAAAGGCAAACGCAAAAAGTGATTACAACTAGTAGGGTAATTATTATGGTATCACCAGTAAGTAATTCAGTTACTACTGCATTGGAACACACAATTTCAAACTTCATGCAACTGTAAACCCATTTTTAGATTTCTGGGTTCTCCAATTGTTTAAGACAGTGGTTTTTAAAACAACACTTGAGTTCTGGCTGTGGGCATGTCCTGTGTGGTATTGAATGTGAAAGGAGGTTAAACATCTCACTTAACATGTTTCATTTGAATCAATACATTTGAAAGACACTGCTGCATGTCTTGAAACCAGATTTTAATATTGTGCATTGTTTCAGAATTTGTAGGTTGATATGAATATGTGTACTACAGACATTTAGACTGTGAAGTGTAAATGTATAGGGTAAATGTGAAATTTGTGATATGTAGCTGATACAGTGGAACCTTGCCTAATGAGCATAATTTGTTCCAGAATCTTAATCGTAATGCGAAACAATTTTTCCCATATAAATTAATGTAAAGTATGATAATGCTTTCCATGCCAAAAAAAAATACTCAAAAAATTGTATGTATAATGTTTATTCAAAGAAAATTATGTATACATTGTTAAGGAGCGTGAATCATCTTCATCTTTTCTTCTATGGGGAATGAACCAACCCAGAATGCGAATTCGATTTGCAGAAAACAAAAAAAAA